AAGCACAGCTCTCGTGATCTCTCCCTCTTGCCTTAAGTACCAATTTCCTGTTGCCTGTGTGAGTAGATCCTAAACGCCTTGAGGCTTTGACTTGGCCTCAGCTCATCATTCCACCCGTTGCTCCCCAGTCACCCAGAAGTGCCTGCACCGGCCATGCACCTGTGTTCCTTCTGTTACCTCCGCTCAGAATTCTCTCCACCCCTTTCATAAAGATGATGTTCATGCCTCAGACCTCAGCGCAGGCGCCACCTCCACAAAGCCTTCCCTCCTCCTTCCCTCAGCCGTAAGTTACCCATTGATTCTTTCATTCATTCGGAACAAGCCCGTGTGCCAACTAGTGCAACCTCTGTGGAAGAGAGTTTGGAGATACCTCAAAGAGCTACAAGTAGAACTACCATTCGATCCATCAATAGCACATTTAGGCATCTACCCAAAGGAACAAAAGTCATTCTGTAATAAAGACATCTGCATCGGAATGTTTATAGCAGCACAATTCACTATAGCAAGGATATGGAAACGACCCAAGAACCCGTCAATCCATGAGTGGAGTAACAAAATATGGTATATTTATACAATGGAATACTACTCAATTATTAAAAACGACAGTGATCTAGCACCTCTTATATTTTCCTGGATAGAGTTTGAGCCCATCCTCCAAAGTGAGGGATCATAAGAACGGAAGAATAGGCACCACCTGTACTCACCATCAAACTGGCACTGACTGACCAACACTGAGGTGCTCACACAGTAGTAATATTCTTTGGGGGTGGGTAAACTCACAAGTAATGGATGCGGTGAGCGTTATGGGGGGAAAGGGCACGTCTCAAATCATGGTTGGGATGTGGCAAAGTCATAACATGTAACCAAAATGTTTGTACCCCCGTAATTTCCTGAAATAAATTATAGAAAAACAAACTAATGAGCCCTGCTGCTCACCCAGTGTCCACCCTTAGATCCTGCAGGTTAAGAGGAAAACAGACGTTAAACGAAGTACAATAAAGTGTTATAAGGGCTTTAATAAAACAATGTGAAGGGTGCAGTGGAGGCCAAGTAGAAAATAATAATTTCTACATGGCAGACGGGGTAACGCGGTTTCAGAGACGAGGGTTGCGGCGGGGTGCGCAGGTGAGGCAGGAAGAGGGGGGTTCACGAGGCGGCGTCGGGAGCAGAGCAGCAGCCGCAAGGATGCGGGGCGGGAAGTGGTTTCCCGAACACAGAGCTGGAAGCGCTTTGTCACAGTCACTGTGGGGAAGGGATGAGGAGTTTGGGGCTAAACACGAGGCTGGAAAGGGGAGCAGGAGCCCAGGTTTGGAGGCCACGTTGCACCAGGCTCAGGGTCACGTCCACAGGGCAACAGAGCGCCACTGAGATGCTTGAAGTGGAAGTGCCATTAACCTGGCAGCCAGGCAGTGCCAGGGAGGCTGGAAGGAACCAGAAGCAAAGCTGTTGGCTGGAAGACTGTCCCAGGAGCGTGGGGCGGAGATGGTGTAGCAAGAACAGACACGAGAGGTAAGCGGTCTGGAAACAATGGAACTTGGTTGGTGATGGTTAGGCAAGAGGGGAGGAAGCACGGGGAGGTGTCTTGTGCAAATGTCAGATTTCTGGCTTGAGAAACTGAGAAACAAAATTAAGATTTTGGTTTTAAACGTGTTTAATACGAGTATTTCGGGGCAGACAGGCTCAGAGGGCAGTTGGAGATGCCTGCAAGGAGGTGTAGGCTGAAGAGACAGATTGGACACGTTGGCTGTTATCGAAGCCCTGGGCGTAGACGTTGTTTAGGGTAAGAAGGCAGAGTGACGGGGAGGAGAGGCGAGGAAAGGAAACACTTCAGGGCACAGCGACGTTGGAAAGGTTGTCCAAGGAAGATAAACCTGCAAAGGGAAGTAGGAAGGACACACCGGAGAAGTTGAAGTCCGGGCTGGAGTGAACAGCACGAATCCAAAAGCAGAGGACTGAGGAGGATGGAAGGGCCGGGAAACGGTCTCCGTCAGTCCAGGCACAACCATACCGGAGCAAGAGGAGAGACCTGCGTGGACGGGAGCTTGTGCTTGTGTTTCTGATCGATTTTAACAAAAACGGAATGAAGGTGAAGATCACGTCCAGGTAATCGGGAAACGTCACGCGGGATGACGTTCAGGTGAATGCCAGAGTGAGCCGGGACGAGGGTCGCGGTGCGTGGAATGGGGCAGAACCCCGAGCTGGGCGGCGTCGGCCACTGAGGTGCAGCCACCCGGAGTTAAGCAGGTCGTAGAGGAGGAGGGAAGCGACAGGGCCCTCGTCTGGGCAGCTGCGCTGAGTCCTGTACCTCCGTCTGCCACACCTCTCGAGTACTGACCACGTGTGGCTTAGAACAGAGTTGCTAACACGGTTTCCTCGCTCCCACGTCTATTTCTGCGTTCCGTCTCTGTCCCTCGCCGAGTCGTGCGCTGCTGGAGGACGCGGCCATGTGTGTTTCATGCATTGCTCTACTCCTACCACCCAATAGTGTCTCGTGCACGCTAGATACTGCATAAGGAATAAATGAACAAAAGAAGAATCAATGAAAAGGGAGGAAGAGGGTCAGTCAGTCAGAAAGGAGAATGAGTTGTTCCATCACTTCTCATCTGGACAGTACAGGGACAGGTTGTCATCAGATGCCACCAGCCTGGTGTCTCCTGCAGAACAGATCCTTGGTGAGGGGAACAAGAGTCACCACCAAAGCATGTTTTACTTTTACAGTTGTCTTTCAATATTATATTTATTTGGTAACAATTTGTGAAACATTTTATCAGCAGATTGATTCACGAATATAGTGAGGTTTGTATATTCTACATTTCACATATCTGACTTTACACGGTGACAGCTCTGTTAATAATTCCTCTGGAAAAGAAAACCTTTATGAAGAAATAAACTTCCTATTTGATGGAGATTGAACCAATACAGGGGAGGGAACAGCGAACACGGCGGCGCTGTGGCCCCGTCCCCCGCAGGGCTGCTGACCGACCCTGCGCCCCGCGCCCAGTGCGTCTTCCAGGAGCCGTCAGGAAACACTTGCTCGCTGGTGCTCCCCGTACCTCGCTGTTTACTCGTGTCCTCTATCCCTCTGTTTACCAGTATCTTTTCTGTGATTTCTGATTCTCGTCTTCTACTTTGGAGAGCTGGAGAATCAGTCGTTTTCAGATAAGCTCGCGTCATTGTCTCTGATCTCGGGCAGTTTCTCCCTGTGCCAGAGCTTCAGGGCAGACATTCACTGTCAGTGGTTGCAGATTTCACCTTATTGTGAAATATTATGCAGAAAAAGTAAGTTTTCTGGACCAGCTTGAAGGATGTGGCAGTGTTATGAAGGCAAAAAATTGTTATTGCATCTGCTTGTATTTTGGTTAAATATAATGGGTTTTTGTACCACAATTATCTTTTCCCGCCATCCTTTCTGCTTTATCATTTTTATTTCTAAACAAAATATCTGACGGCACAGCTATGTGGCCTGTTAGAACACATCGTCCTTTAAAATGTCATTATATAAGTGCTTTTCCTACTTTTTTCTACACTGTATATAATCAGAGGTATATACAATGTTTTTATTTTTCCTGGTAAAATGCCAACCTCTTTCCAACTTAAATTTCTCTTAAATTACCATAATAAAATGCCTTGTGTATTGCTATACTCCTTGAGGATTTTTAATACTATACTCTTCTGCAAGGAATATAAACTAAAATCTTCAGAACCTCTCAGTGAATGTAACATTAGTATCCAACATTAATTTCCAAATGTGGCTAAGGTTGAATCATTAAATTTTATCCTGCTAGAATCATACAGTTGAAGGGATTAGAACTAAAAGAACCCTTAAAAGTCATCTCCTGCAATCTCCCTGCTTAATAGATGAATAAACAAACCTCCAGAAACGGTGACTGAGTTACGGACACAGGGTAACAAAGTGCCTTCAACAGGACTGCTTCCGCTTCACTGTCTGCTCCTTGCCAATCCCTGACCCCTCCTCTGGCTTCTGTACTCGCCTCTTCTTTCAGAGTGACGTTCTCACCCGCTTTCGCCTTCCCCGTAGCCTTATTAACATACTCGGCCATACGTTTTATTGCCACTTCTGCTGCTTCTAGTTGAAAATTGGTTTATGGTAGAAGCTGAGAACGATGAAAAAATTAGGGTAATCTGATAATTTACTACGTGGTAATACAGTGGCAAGAAAGAGTTTTCTGATTGTCTAAATTACTCCTGAAGATGGACTTACAAAGCAAAAGAGTCTGGTTTTTCCTCTTGATCCGGTTTATGTGTCTGTGAAAGATCATACAGTGTTGTGATGACAGTTTCGTAAGCCGATGGCAATTAGAATTGAGAATAAGTTCTGTATTCTTCTACCCGTGGTCTAGGACCACATAGGAGGGCGTTTTCCCAATTTACTAATATTTTGTGATGTAAATAAGTAGACCTCAACTCTCTCATCTATAAAGTGAGGACGTTTAAATACTACTTCACACAGCTGAGGATGGGAATAATATTTACAACTTCCCTTGCTTTTGATTTTTAGTCTTATAGGAGTGCCGTTTCTCTAATATAAAACCTTTTATATATATTTGTATAAAATGGTCCATGGTAAATGTATATGATAGCCATCTACCGTGATTGCCTTTTTAACATTTAAGCTTATAATTAAGGCTACTGTAGTAAGTTACATATCAAATATACATGCGTGTATCTACAGTTAACTTGGAGGCTTATAGTTAAAAACCTGTGGTCTTTAGTGACTATCTTTTGATTAAACTCTAAAAAATAATGGTCTATTTTAATGCCTCTTGGAAAATACTGCTTGGAAAATACTCTTAATGAACGTACTTCTTAGAACATTTGCCTGTTTGCAGAATCATCGACAGCAGTTTTGTGTATCTTTCTAGTAAAGCGAATACTTGGAAATGTACTTTCCTTGCAAATCTATGGCCCTTCAGAATTTCTTTTACAAACAACGGAAAAAGTCGTCTCAAGCAGGTTGTCCCGTTTTTCTTTCTCTGCAGCTGCGACAGCTGGTCAACATGTGCATCAACCCAGACCCGGAGAAGCGACCGGACATCACCTACGTGTACGACGTGGCGAAGAGGATGCACGCGTGCACCGCCAGCAGCTAAACACGTGCAAGATCCTGAAGAACATGCTGAAAACAATTTAAAGTATTTCTGTGCAGATCATACCTCCCCGTTTATGTCTGGGTGTTAAGATTAATACTTCAGAGCTGATGTGCTTTGAATCCTTAACCAGTTTTCATGTAAGCTTCATTTCGTACCCGTCTAAGTCACCTTCCTGCAGCCCCCGGATGACTCTGGAATGATCAAACTGCATGTTAGGAGAGTAAGTGAAACATGAGGGTTTTTAGTGGCTAAAGGCGTTGAAGAATTATTTAGAGTTTTCCGC